TTTTTCTGTAGTTGGTTGATCAGTTGGTGTGTGCTTTTTGCATTTTGCCCACTTAATGTATGCTGTATGACCTTAGGGAGTGGTCATTATTTATAGGGTGGTAGGGGGTGATGATTTTTTAGGCACAAGCTAAAATTTTCCGTAACCCCTCTCTTGAGCAATTGTTGAAAATTTGAAATTCACAACATGGGAGTACGGGAAGGAAAAATTAGGGGGGAGGAAAGAAATTTGCCCGACTTTTTCGGATTTTGCCCGAATTGTCAAAAAAAAATTTTCCGGAGAAACTTTCCAAAATTGTTGTCGGCGGGGGGGCGGGGGGGGAGGAGTGATTACGAAAAATTCCTATTAGATAGCATATTTCCCACAAAATTGACAGAATTTCCCACAAAATTTGTCCCATTTACTTTTATAATAGCCAATATTGCCCGACTGTGAAGCGAATATTGCCCGACTGGCTTTGTTTGCCCAACAAACTGGGGTGGGCGGCCGCCCCCCCCCCCGCCCGGTACGCCCATGATTCACAACCCCTCCTTCACACGTTCAAAAAAAATTCAATCCCTTCTCAAGGAAATCGTTTTAACAAATATAAACATAAATTGAGTTTTAACATTGCAATTTCAACTTGAAACAAGAAGTCTTCTATTGACTAGTACTTTGTGCTTAATTTAAAAAAATAAGACCAACATTATGCTTGTGATGTTACTCTGAGTGTATATCTACACCGGGCAAGCTTGAAAAATATGCCTGGCCACGGTGGGAATCTAACCTACGACCTTTGGAATACTTGCTTGGAATACTCTGCCAACTGAGCTACGCAGTCAGCTACAATCAGGAGCAAAAATTATTGAGACAACCGCATACCTCACCCCAATTCAATGTTGTGTTGATGACTGAAAAGAGAAAATTCAACCCACTTTTTCCAACATTGATCATGGAGGCAGGGGGGGAGGCCGACGTACTTTCAAATGGCCAAAAATGTGAAAAGTCTCATTATTTTTGCACGCGATTGTAGGTGGATTCAAGTAGTGATATTTTGGAACCGAGTGTGTTTATTACATTGATATCGAAGGAACTAGACTCGGTTCCGAAATATCACTACTCGAACCGACCTGACCGCGTAGCTCAGTTCAGGGCCGTAGCAACCGGGCTGCAGCCCCAATAATTTGCTAATAATCATTCTTTTTTCAAAATCATGCAGACCTTTATCATTTAATCCATGACAAACTGCAAAGAATGAAGATATTACCCATACTTTCCTGCAACTTATCTAATATATAGTTAATTAAGTACGCCTTCGCCAATTTAGTACTACTAAATTGTAAATTTCGACATACTAAAACGCTGTTTTCTGACCATCAGAATTCCGTCAATTCCGATGTTTATTTTACAGCTTGGCATGTAATAACACAGTTTAGTATGATTACTTCTCAAATTCATTAATAATTCATGCATGAGCATGTCAGCCAATGATAATCACCTATTTGATCACAAGATACCATTTGGATAACCCGGTGAAACTTGATGAAAGTCACTAGTCACTATTGAAAACTCGACATCAGAGATTGATATGGACAGAATTAATAATTTAATATTTGATCCGTTTAAAAGTTTAAATAATAGTGAAACTGAAAACCTTGACGAATCTGCAATTAATCCGGTAATTGAAAATTCCTATTATACCACCAATACATTTAATAACTTAATAGAAACTAAAAATATAGCTTCAAATAACTTATCACTACTGCACCTAAACATATAAGAAGCTTAAAGAATAAAGTCGACTCTCTTCAAACTTTTCTAAATCTACTGAAATTAAAATTTTCACTAATAGCGCTTACAGAAACTTGGCTTAAAGACAACATTGACATTAACTATGACATACCAGGATATAGCAGTATTTACTTAAACAGGAAAGCAGATAAATGTGGCGGCAGAATTTGCGCATTTATAAGAGATCACATTGAATTTAAAATCCGCGATGATATCAATTGTATAACAACCGGGAAACACAATGTAGAATTTTTATTTATTGAAATCCTGAACCATAATAGCCCTAATGTTATAGTCGGAATTATTTATCGACCACCCAATAGCAAATATGATGAATTTGAAAAAGCTTTAAGTGAAATCCTATCGAAAGTAGATAGAGAAAATAAACCTTGCTATCTAATGGGAGATTTTAACATTGATTTACTCAAGTATGAAAACTGTTCTTTTGCAAACAGATTCTTCAACCAACTAACATCCTCTGCGTTTCTCCCCCTTATAACTAAACCAACGAGATTAACTGAACATACAGCAACCTTAATTGACAATATATTTTGCAATCAAGTTAGCTATCAACAACAAATTAGTGGAATATTATTTAACGATTTATCGGATCACCTACCAGTATTCCAAATATGTCTAGATTATAACCAAAATCAAGTTGAAAACGGTGTTAAGCTAAGTAAAACTCGACCAATGCCTGATGCAGCACGAGAATCATTTGTTAATGAATTAAATAATCAAACATGGTCATCTACACTATCAAAACCTGACGTTGAAAAATCTTATGAAGAGTTTCAAAAGTCCTTTCAAGGAATTTTTAACAAACATTTTCCAATAAAAGTGGTTAAATTAAAAGACAACATATGCCCTAAGAAACCATGGATAACTAATGGACTAATAAAATCCACGAAAACGAAAACTAAACTATACAGGAAATTTCTATGCAAGCCAACAGAATTTAATAGAACGAAGTATAAAATATTCCGAAATAAATTAAACCATCTTATAAGAGTCTCCAAGAAAAGGCATTTTCAAAAACGGTTAAATGATGCCAAAGCTGATTTGAAAAGTACATGGAAAATACTAAATGAATTAATTTGCAAAAAAGGAGAGAGAAAACAGCTACCTTCTAGGTTTTCTCTAGAAGATGGCAGGGAAATAAACAATCCAAACACAATTGCGAATAGATTTAATGAATTTTTTGTTAATGTAGGACCAAATTTAGCTAAGAAGTTCGATCAGAATTCTAACAATTTCACCAAGCACCTACAAGGTGACTATCAAAAATCTATGTTTCTAAAAAGCACTTCAAACAAAGAAATTGAAGAAATAATTGCCTCTATGAAATCTAAAAGCAGCTGCGGAATCGATGGAATAAGTTCCAAACTTATTAAACACATTTCACATATTATTTCAATACCACTGTGCCATGTTTTCAATCTATCCTTCACATGTGGTATTATACCTCGTGAGTTAAAAATGTCACTAGTTACACCCATTTATAAGACTGGTGACAAAACCAAATTTACGAATTATAGACCTATCTCAGTCTTACCAAGTTTTGGAAAAATACTAGAAAAAATAATGTTTAAACGATTAATATCCTATATCACTAAACAATGATATCCTCTATGACAAACAATATGGATTTCGGAATAAATACTCAACAAGTCTCGCAATGATTGATCTAGTTGACAAAATATCTACTGCAATAGAAAACGGGGAATATACTGTTGGTATCTTCTTAGATCTTTCTAAAGCATTTGACACCGTAAATCATAAAATTTTATTGACTAAACTTCATCATTATGGAATTAGAGGTATATGCAATGATTGGTTTGCAAACTACTTGACTGACAGAAAACAGATAGTTAAATATAATGTAACTTACTCAACTGAAAAAACGATCAAATGTGGAGTTCCTCAAGGAACAGTTTTGGGCCCATTACTTTTTCTTTTATATATCAATGATATACATTGCTCTAGTAATCTTTCGTTTATATTGTTTGCAGATGACACCAATTTATTTCGTTCAGGAAAAGACCTGAAACAACTTGAAATAGAAATAAATCATCAACTTATACTTGTGCAAACATGGCTTAAGGATAATCAGCTTACCTTAAATATTAAAAAGACTAACTACATTATATTCAAATCATTCAGGAAAAAACATAACGCAAATCTAACCTTTAAGATTAATGATAAAATGATACAAAATGCTAAAGAAACTAAATTCCTTGGTATTATAATTGATGAACACTTAACATGGAAAAGTCATATTGATTACATAACTAAGAAATTATTAAAAGTATCTAACATTCTTTGTAAAGTTCGTCACTACCTAAATAAAAAACATCTCATAACTCTATATCATACTCTTGTTTACCCACATTTATATTACGGTAATATACTATGGGCTAGCAACTATAAAACAAGATTAAAGTCAGTATCAACGATACAGAAAAAGATTCTGAAAATAATATCATTTTTCCCTTATACTTTCTCATCTTCAACCCTTTTTTCAACGCTAGAAATACTAAATATTAATAAGATAAATGCTTTTCAAGTTGGCTTGTTCACATTCGACGCAGTAAAAAATACACTACCACCTCAATTTGATTCACATTGCATAAAAAACAATGTTATTCATTGCCATAATACCAGAGGCTCTATGAAATTACACAAACACTACAATAAAACAAACTATGGACTGTATTCCACAAAAAACAGATGCACAGTAGTGTGGAATATGTTGCCGGAATACATTAAAAATAGCGATAGTAAATACATATTTAAGTGCAATCTAAAATTATATCTTCTTTCTTCTGAAGATTATTAGTTGTACTCACAAAAAATGTAAATAAAAATAATTTATAACTTTATAAAGTTAATTTGTATTAGTGGACCTCGTATATCTTGAACCTGACATTATCTGACACTATTCTCCTTTGTTATATTAGTTTGTTTTTTAAATTTTTTAGGGTGGACTACTAGAAAAGCCCTGACGGGCTTGTTAGTCTTCCTTCCATATGAATTATTTTATCAAAACTGTAACTATATAATGGAAAAATAAAAATATCTATCTATATCTATCTAGTGTTTTCATCAAATATCTTAATTACGCATGCCTGAATTACTTGAATAGAATTCCTAATTACGTTATGCTTGGTTAAGAATTCTATTCAAATCAGCAAACGAAAACATTTTGTTACGTCTTGATTAATTTGAGAAGTAATATGTGAACAACGAGAGCGAGTGTTTCACCGGGATATCCAAACACTCGAAAACAATGTATGAAAACACAGTCGCACTTCGCGCTCGTCTTTTCATACATTGTTTTCTCGTGTTTGGATATCCCGGTGAAACACTCGCTCTCGTTGTTCATATATTACTTCTCAAATTCATTAATAATTCATGAGCAATTCAGCCAATGATAATCACCTATTTGATCACAAGATGCCATTTGGATACTTGATGAAAGTCACTAGTGTTTTCATCAAATATCTTAATTACGCATGCAAAATTACTTGAATAGAATTCCTAATTACGTTATGCTTGGTTAAGAATTCTATTCAAATCAGCAAACGAAAACATTCTGTTACGTCTCGATTCATTTGAGAAGCCATATAAACAACTCGAGCTCGTGTCTCACCGGGATATCCAAGCACTCGAAAACAATGTATGAAAACACTCGCGCTTCGCGCTCGTGTTTTCATACATTGTTTTCTCGTGTTTGGATATCCCGGTGAAACACTCGCTCTCGTTGTTCATATATTACATATGTAGGTGATTATTATCATGACGATTCTGCACGCTGATTGGTTGCGGTTGAGGTGTGTTTATTTTACAGCATGGCATGTGATAACACAATTTAGTATAATTAGTAGGTGATTATTGACAATTCTCCACGCTGATTGGTTGCCGTTAAGGTGATTATAACGCGATAATCACCTAAGCGATTTTCGAAATGGCGGCCGAAGCTGGCCGTTTTGTCAATTAAATGACGAAGAAATGTGTATTTTTTATTTTTTCCAAATAATCACCTATGAAATTATACTAAAACAATTATTCACCTCAGGCTCGGTGATTATCGCCAAAACATCGACTTCGTCTCGGTTTTTATTCACCGTTTTTATTCTTCGGCGAATAATTGTTAAATATTCATTGTCTACAGTGTAGTAATTATTTCGATTTGTTAAGTTTGTTTATGTGTCAATTATTTTGTTTGTGCATTAATTATTTTGTTTTGTCTTTAATTATTTATAAAACTGCTTTAAGACATTTTTCTAGTAACCGCTCCTTCTTCAAGTCAAGAATCAACATAACCCCTCCTTCAGCAACTTTCAAAATTTTGTAACCCCTCCTCAAAATTTTGTAACCCCTATCACCACATAAATAATGACCACTCCCTTAACGTTCAACTCAGCATAGTTTTTTTCATTAGTAGATGGGGCTAGGATACCGTTAGTAGGTGGGACTTGGGGAGCGTCAGTAGGTGGGACTTGGGGACCATTAGTAGGTGGGGATTTGGGGACTGTTAGTAGGTGGGACTTTTATGAAGGTCATATGGCTATTCTAGGGACCACCTTACTAAACTATCTGAATCACTTAAGGTAATTCCGCAGTAATTTTTCCCTAAATGAGAATGTGCTGAAACTTCCCAGGCATGGAGTTTATGATATACTTAAAGTAAAATCACACAAAAAAGTCGGGGTCACCGAACTCGTTAAGAAGATATGACGATCATCATATACCACCTTTACCCCAATATGGCGCCATCTTGGCGCTCATTACGAGTAACAGCAAAATCAAAACAGCCCGATATTCATTGACGTTTTTAGCGCGGGTTTTGTTTTAGTACACCTATCTTGTAATTATTTTTGAAAAAATATTGTGTTTTGAGCAAAATGAAACTACTAACGTGTACAATTCTGATCCAGAAATGTCTTTTCCCCATTTCTTTGCATATCTTTCTTTGAGAACATGCATTGATAGAAATATTATATATCATTAAAGAAATAAATAATCAGTTAAAAAACGGGGGTCACCGATATTTTTAGGGAATTTTGGCATTAAAACGTGAAATACAAGTAAATAAATATACTACAGACACAGGAACCCTAGCTACACTTTTGTATGCCTTTTTTGAAAACATTGATTTTAACGTAATTCTTTGCACGAATGTAACTAAAGATGTTTTGAAGTAACATAAAATTGTCATAAAATGATTTTTTATGATAAAATGATAATGGATGAAATTATAAGTTATATAAGATGTGCGCAGTAAAAGTGCGCAATGCAAAACTGCGGAATTACCTTAACATTTCACCACTTCACTATGGAATTGAAGACAGTGATTTAGAATATTATGCCATTCGAGGCATTCTCTAGCTTCACTATAGACAAAGCAAATAATCTTTAAATTGTGAAGAATGGACTATGTTTATAATTCATGTGTCCAACGAATTTGGCAATAAAGGGATGCCAGCCTCCTATTGTTGCTGTGGTGCAGTTTAGCTAGAAAAATAGAAAATGCTTTATACTCGCTACAACTTACAACATTTACCTCGAGCACTTTCCAGTTGGAGTGGACACTGGACAGCATGCATGCAGGTTCAAAAGACAATGAAGCCATTTTGAATATGAATATAGCTATACTTGAATGTGAAAATATAAGAAAATGGAAGATAAACGCAATAATATATTCGTAGTATTCGTGGCATTACGAATTTCGAATAGGTCACGTCTATTATGTCAGGTGTTTCCTATCCATTTTTAACAATTCAGAGAACATGGCGGGTATTTAAACAAAAGAATCTCATTAGAATATCATTACTTTACCTCCATCTGCGTTTGTGTTAACGTCTCGCGGGAATGCTTAAAACCCACTTAAAATGAAGTTCGTCGATCCGTCCATACCGAATTAATCGTAAATCAAAGCGGTGGAGTCCTGCAAAAAAGTTCGCATGTAACCAGAAGATGTTTCATCATCCCTGCCATCACTCCATCGTCATGCAGTTGAAGAAGTCAAATATTCAAGTTGGGCTCGGCCCTCCGATCTCCACTCCAATGCACCCCTGATTACTCTGGTTGGTCAAAACAACATTTTGTGCAGTTTTCAAATAAAAGCTGGTGTGCTACAAGGAGGTATATACGTTGCCACCATTTTTGTTTGCCATGCATGGCATTGTCTCTACAATGAGACTAGCTGAGACTGGACATTGATGGCAAAGAGTTTGATCTTGGCTTTCAAATTCAACGACGACAAGCCTTGGAGAGGTCGACAAGCCTTGTGTAGTTCTGTTGTTTGATGTTATTTTCATCTTGCACGAAGTAGAACAAGCGCAAGAACTCCAAACTTGAATTTGAAACCGCCAAAAAGCATGATAATATTCAGTTACAAAGACACAATTGATATTTAAAACTATCAATGGAAGAACGTCAAGTAACTTGGTTCGTGGATGTCCAGTTCAGAAAACGGGGCATTGAAGTGAGGAAAGTAACGGCATGGTCCGCTTGCAGAAAATTAAGAAAGTACGGAACTCTACTTTTGAAGATTCGACTTTTTAAATCTATTGTTGTGTGTTGAATCAATTTTGTTATATACGGCTCAGAAACCTGGAACCTAACAATAACGCTTGAAAAACGCTTAGATGGTTGATACACTGGCATGCTTTGCATGGTACTCAGTGTCTCATGGGCCCTGCATGCAACGACTTACCTATCATGAATTGTATAAAAAACTAGCTAAAGCATCTGAAATAAATAGAGAAAGGATATTCCTCGCTGGTCACTATGTCAAGCACACATGCAGGACGTGGTGCATGCATGCGATAGCTGACAACATTAATGTCCTGTATAGGAGCCGCCATTTGATGGTAGGAGAAACAGAGGGAGAAGATCCACTACATATATATTGATGCAGTGAAATGAGGATTCAGATAACAGGACGATACTTTCAAAGTCAAGTCGAGCTGGTGAAATTGTGACTGAAGTGAGCAGTATATATAGAAACTCGCTGAATTTAACTGCATTTTTTGCTACGTCAAACTTGCAAGTTGCCAATGTTGATGATTGCGCGTATCACTTTTTAATTCAATATATTTGGAATCGAATGACATGCGCACAGTTTTAGGAAACATTCAAAGATTGAAAAGAACTTTTAATCAAGCGCTATGCTAGTAAAGAGACTAGAAAACATTTATTGGTTGGAAGAATAGATAAAACCTCAAGTGCCTACAGTTTGTGCAGTCTCGCCCTTTCTGATTTTGAGAGCCTGAGAGAACACGTCTGATAAACTAATTGAATTCAGTTAAATTATTAAAGCCATATTCTACAGCGAATTGGAAAGACGTAACAGGGAGAATATGACACTTATTGTCCAAGAATACCAAACTTATCCAAGCACGTTGAAAAAGTAAAAAATAAAAGGAAAGTCATGTTATTCATGAATTGACACTTTCAAAAAACGTTATTGTCTTCTTGACTGTCTCTTTTAATTGGATATGGCTATAGACATAGTATTTAGATGTCCATGCAAACAATTTACCATGGAAACTATATTTAAATATTTTCCTACTACAGTCTACATGCAGGTGGCAATTAATTTTGGATCTTTTCTTGACATTTGACATGAGAAGAAATCTTGCAGTTGAAACGTAAGGAACAGTAAACTTTGCTGCATGAAACAGTGAATGTCACAATTTAGATAAGCAGAAAGGATATCAAAATATTTAATGTGTACTGCTCTATTTGTTCGAAACAGCTGATGATTTCAATTCAATGTAATTTACAACGGTGTTCTTTATATTGCCGACGATGTTAATACAGATTATGCATAATTAGCTAGAGATAGCTGTAAAATTTGAGTTTTGCACGTATCATGAAGAAATCAATAAAATCAACTTTCGTATGTCTTAAATGGGTTGCACTGCATCAGTAAAGAAGAGTGAATCGAATAAACAAAACAACATCAAAGGTATTATTTTATCTTCAGTAATTTTATTCATATGACAAATATATTACATTTGCAACTCGAAGTAAATCTAGATTCTAGAATTAAAAAAATGTCAATCTATATTTTAGCTTTAAAAGCGGCTATTTTAATCCAAACATGGTTTAGACGCCATCAAGCCAGACTTGAGGCTCGTAGGAGATGTTCATGGAAAATATTTCAAGCGTTGGAATACTCTGGAGAAATAGATCATGTTAAGGTTTGATGAAATAACAAACATTGTAAATACAGGCGCTAAATTAACAGTACACGAATAACATAAATATACGAGTAGCGTTACGTAACATGTAGCTATAGTAAGCATTATGGTTTCAAGGTATTAGTTATAGCACAATATTAAGAAACCATTATAGGGTTCGTTCGTTCCATGTTAAGTAAATGTTGTTTACACACCTATAAGCTAAACGTTGGATCGCGATATTTAACTGCAATAACCTAAGTTAACAAAGTTTAATTGAAACGTTTCAACAACTATATACTCATACTGAAGTGCTGCTATTTCAATAATTATTTTACACTTTTCACGACTGTTCCTTTCTTGCATTGTTCTTGTTTTAACGCGTGTTTAGTATCCTTGATAAGACGCCTCAATACTCTGAATTTGGTTATGCCCAACATTAAAATCTACAACTCAGTTGTTCACAACTTCGAGAACAGTCATTGTTCCCAAGGCCAAGTTTAAGATTTTAAGCGGTTTCTCAGCGGTTCGCTTTACATGGCGTGATAATGTACAATTGTTTTGCTTTTTTGGTAAACATCTCGTTTATTGATTTATTTGGCCGACAGCTTACGATCGATGCATGAGTTTGGATCTTCATTGAAGACTGTCAATGTGATGTTAAATGGTCTATGACTATGTAGGTATAGAGATGAGAACAAGCCAACTCAAACAGCAAAAGGGCCTTCGCTCAAAACGTCGAAGTTTTGCTTATATTTTCAGGAATATTGTGGCTTAGGGATTAGCCCGAGTATATCAGGCCGGATACTACTTACAGATGAAGATAGATAGATTATTTAATAAGATTTTACATCGCAGCCCAAAAAAGCTGAATTGCGTAAAATTTACAAAACATATAAATTAACTGTAGGTTATAAAGTCTATAGACACATGCATATACATATACACACATACAAATACTAACAGTACACATATTTTCATACATATACATTACGATCTTTAAGGTTCAAGTTAGACTTATGTTATGAAAACAATTCATAGCAAACCTATTTCTTTAAATTATTTGACATTGCGGAAATATAAGAGTTTCTAAAACGATTGGTTCGTATAGTAGGACAATCAAACGCACGTTCTCTCCTCAGGTTGTAAGTGGGATTGTGTTTGGGTGGCAGTAGTTGATAAAGCTTGTGGTCTGGGTTGGATACTATTGTCTTGAAAAGTTTTTCACACAGTTTCTGACGCCTGTCTTTGAGAGAATTAATATTATGCTTGTTAAGATTGTTCGTATAAGATGACCCAGGAGATATAATTGAAAGCGCTCGCTTTTGAATGCGTTCAAGATCGTTACATAAATATGCAGGTAATGAGTGGTGGAATACAGGTGCACAATACTCGAGAACTGGTCTGATGCAAGTACAATAAAATTTTAAGATATGGTCAGCAGGAATGCTTGCACGCCTAAGCAAAATTAGGAAATACAAACGTTTGTTAGCTTTCTTCACGACATAGTTGACATGGTCAATCCATTCCAGTGAGTTAGACACCATGACACCCAATATCTTGGCACTGCTGACTAGCTCGAGTTCTTTGGACTTGATGATGATGGTCTTAAGCTGATGTTTCACTTTCTTAAAGTCAACTATCATTTCCTTACACTTGTCTTCGTTCAACTGGAGTTTGTTGTTTTTACTCCATTTCTCTACATCAGACACTGCACTCTGCATTTGGCTTTGGCTATTTCTTGGGACAACCTCGGTTAATGTCGTGTCGTCTACGTACTTCCACGAGTGCCCTTCGGATGGTTTAAGGTCATTGATCATGAGAAGAAATAACCATGGTCCTAATTTCGTACCCTGTGGAACTCCAGATGGAACTGCACCCCATTCGGAGAAGCAATCGTTGGACAGTTTGACGCGTTGCAGCCTGTTCGATAAAAAGTCGCATACCCAGCGAACTACACTACGTGGAACATTCAGGGAAAGGATCTTTTTAACTAGGATCCGGTGATCGATGAGATCAAATGCCTTCCTGTAGTCTAGCACCACTGTCTTACAGATCGAAAGCTACTGCTGTGCCTATGTGTTAGTACAGTCAGTATTAGTACAGAGTACAGTATCATCGCAATCATCACCATCAATATCATCATTAATCTCTATACTGACGTATCCGAAAAGACGAGATCTTTTATAGCTTTCTAATAACGCCGCCTTCTTTATGCGGATATTTGATGACCGAAAATGACCAAATACGCTGCCTACCCCATTTGCTATTCAGTTGGTCAGCTTTAGAAGTATATATAATGCGTATACAGTGACAAAATGCACACATTGGATATTCTTAGAGGGCGTACGTCATTTCGCTACGGTCATAAACGTGTGAAGATCTGAGACCAGACCTTCTATTTTTAACCATGCTCATTTTGAAAATATTGTTTTGTCTTTGACCGGAACTGTTCAGTACAACTACAAGATAAGTTGTTTTTCATGTTTTTGACATTGTCAGTCTTGACATGCTATACATTTATTTCATTTCGGTGCAGCTATATAAGCAAATTAATATATAGAAACTGTTTGGTTTCATTTCACTTCACACTTTAAATTATGTTAATTATATATGTGAAGAGCGAGTGAAAATGTTTACATTTGCTTGTCAAGTCCAGAGCTCGAGTTACGTTTAAATTAAAACGAGAAGAAATCTTTGAAAAATGCAGGCAAACCTTGCAAGACGGTAACGCGACCCACGACACCCTAAATTAAACAATAAAATTACTGTGAAGAAAAGTTGTTATGTACTATTGTCCATCGTATGCGGAGTTTAATACAACGAGTTTGAGGAGATAAAACAATGGCTTTATGGTTGAAAATATTTTTACTGGACCAATTTGTAGTAGCACTTGTAGCTTGAAATGTTTGCGATGTACAAGGGACGTGAAAATCAATCGATCAATTTTTAATTAGGAAGTCTACGTCACAATGTGTTTTTCAGTAGGGTTCTTCGAAATCTCTGCGAAATATCTGGTTTGCGCTTGCAAAAGCGCAAGACGACGTCTCTAACTCCCGTGGGGCTGTTAATTATTCATTTCTTTTCTCGAATGTGATATGGTCTGAATAGCCGTATCTTTTATTATCTCAAACATAACGCATATAAATATTTTATCTAGCTGTGCAAGTTTTTTAATGAATTAATATCAAAACAAACCGCTTCTTCAACAGGTATTAAAGTGTTCTTCTATACTACTTAATTAAATCAGTATTGGGCCATTCACAAAGGATGTCCGAGTCGAGGGGGGAGGGGGGTTTGGAAAATCAGGACAAACTCGGACATAGGGGGGGAGGGGGGTGTTTTAGCAATCCGGATGTCCGAAATTTAAAAAAAATTCAAAAACAAATTTCTTTTTCCCTCTATTTTGAGCAGTCCTTCCCATTGTGAAATTGGCATTTTGACTATGCGGTTAACACTAGATTTTGTTTTAATTAGTAATTTATATGTTTTTGTGTTCACATTTACAGTTATAAAAAGTTCTAAAAGTAAAAAAAGTTTTTCACTCTTGATATATACAAGGTTGTGTGAGTTTTTGCGAGGCATGGCGGATGTCCGGGGGGGGGTGTCACTAATTCGGACAATCTCGGACAAGGGGGGGAGGGGGGGGGGTCTGAAAATCCATCATTTGGCCGGACATCCTTTGTCAATGGCCCCTATAGTGTTTCCATCTTTTACAGTGTTTTGGTGCATGCTGAGATGGACGCTCGTCTTCTCTTTGTTTCTATACTGTATACAATTCTCATGACTTAAATTGTTATGCATGTGTTTTGCATAGTCCGTTATATCTCAAATGAAGAACGTCTACTGCATATTTATGCGGATCCAGCCGAGATAGAAATAGACCAAAATTATTCAGGACCTGAAATAATTTTTCCACTGGAGTTGGACAGCGTACTTGATCTCGTGCGTTACTTTCAGCAGGGAAAGGTATTAGAATGGTTTTTTAAATGCGAAAAGAAATAATCTTATATGAATATATTACTAATCTGTATATATGAATATAAAACTAAATATCAGGATTACTAATTGTAGAAGGGTTTTGTAGATGGAAATTTCAAGTCTGAATTTTATACATTTATTAGACATGATATTTGTGGTGTTACTCTGAGTGTATATCCACACCGGGCGAGCTTGAAAAATATGCCCGGCCACGGTGGGATTCGAACCTACGACCTTTGGAATACTAGCCCAATGCTCTTCCAACTGAGCTACGCGGTCAGGACAGTTC